TATATATATATATATAGAAACTGTTCACTGAGCTAATATAAATCAATATAAATCAAGTGAAAAGTAGTGTCAGTTCTCCATAAGACTGTATGTTCTTTTTATTGCAGCCAATGGAGCTCCCCCTGCTGGCCATTACACAGAATGCAGGTTTAAGACACGCGTTTGCTTCACTTCACAGACCCGGAAGCTCTATCCATTATATATTCTGTCAATGGTCACATCCTATTTGCCAATGAATTGAATGGAAGTATAAATCACAAACATCCTCTGTTCACAAGCAGCAGCCATTGACAGTATAGTCAGTAGACTGGAGATGATACCTTACCTTCGCAGGCTACAACTTGTCAGTGACAAGTGGAGACTAGACCAAGACCCCGTGGGTGGTCAGTAAACCATGTGCTGGTGAGAGTTGTGTGGTAAAAGCTAACATTGGCCCACACAACCACATAATTTGCCAAGTCATCCTTAACCAAGCCTCTCTCATTCTCAAGTCTGAGATCTCTGTTAAGTGTCTCCAAGAATCCCAGGAGGCATTGCGTGTTGGAGGTGTAATGATGGGCATGTGGGTAATGATGGGCATGTGGGTAATTACAGCATTCTTTGATATAGCAGCATGAATGGTTAGGTTGCTCACACGCTGACCTGGCACTTCCTCAGTGGTTCAGTTTCTGCCATGTCTTGCCATATAGACTATATTTTGAGGGAAAAATCCAGCATACTGTCATTGCTGTACTAATCTTGATCTTTTAAGGGTATTTTTATTCACTCTGTCACTAACTAAGCCCTACAAAGAAGCTTTTGATGAAAATCAATCTTCTAGAGTGTCCACAAGCTGACCATTTTCCATTTCCATCTTTGCATTAGTGGACACATTAGTGTTACTCTGCAAAAGACATGTAATAAACCACCTGGGGAAATGGTTTGAGTGATCATATCACAATAGGTCTTGGTGGTTACACTTGTAACTAGCGCTGTTTACTTGTGTTCTGATCAGAAGACACATGTCTTTACACTTTACACTTTTCAAAACCAAGTGTAAACAGGGTTTGAAAGTGACAGAAATCAACTCAAACAATGCAATCAGTATGATCAAGAATTGCTCCATTTAATATTTTGTAGACAACTGCATTTAAGAACAAAATATATAAAGGAACATGCATACCATCTTGAGTGTGCAGTTCTGTATGTTTATGTTTGTGGCTCTGGTTATTTTTCATGTGAAGCATGCTGTTTGAAATGTGCTATATACAGACAATAAAACTGACTGACATGTCATGATGCAGTGAGCATATGGTGTGGGGCCATACACACACTATTGCACAGCTGATCTTTTAGGGATAAGCAACATAGACAATCTCTATCCAAGTCTCTGACAGATTGAATCTATATGTTGGGTTCTTTTAGACATCAACTGTGTTTTCAGTTGTCCTCTAACTTGATATATTTGTCCTCGTCCTCCACTGGTAATGTGATACAATTTGTCAAAAACGTTCCCCTCTGGTTATGATATATGATGCATTGCTTGGATTCAATGTTGCATTATAACATCTCTGGCGTGCACTGGAAATGTGCTCTCGTTCAGAGGGGGCTTTGATTCTAGTATGAAAAAGACAGGGAGAAAAAAGCAATTTATAGAACTCCTTTGACGTCTAGAAAGTCTGCCAGAGTGGAATTTGAGCATGTCCAGACAGTGAAGTGTCAAACTGAAGAAAATGATACTGTAAGAACTTGAGGAATAAACTGTTTACATAGCCTTATATATTTTTGGAATTATTTAATTAATTTGATGGATTGCAATTCATGATTGTGAGCGGGTCTATTATCTCATATTGCACGATGGTGCACAACGCAAGAAGAAACTGGGTCAGTACTGCAGCCATATTGTTTCGAACAGTGACACAACAGAAGCGCTGCTTTTCCCTGCAACTTCTACCTTTGCAATCATCAATTTCAAATGGTGCTGAAAATAAAACGTGGACTAAAGACATTTGGTTTATGTTCCACAGCAAGTAATATCAAAGTGGTGTCCATATTACAGTATGTTTATTTTCTGCCTATTTTGGTGACTAATCTGACTTGTAGCCTATGTAGATATTAGTCTATAGTTGGTCACTTTTTTAATTTATGTTTATAGACTCTTATTCTTTTCCTACTGTATGTAGCTATAGGCTATAGTAGTTATATGTTTATTTTTTACTTATTTGGTTAAAGCTGTATGTCTGTTATTCCTATCTCTATATCTATTGGAAGTGTGTATACACTCTTGGCGGATAAAGCTGATTCTGATTGTAAGTGTTTATTAGTTTGGAAGTCTCAAGTTGCTTACATTTTATGTATTATTATTTTTTTAATTCCTTTCAGATGTTGTAATTTATGAGACCGTACAAACTGTACCTCAGTCAATGTTGAAATCTCTGAGCGAGTGTGATGCTGCCTTAAATTGCTCCTCGTAAGCCCGTGGTTCGACCGGCAACCTTTAGGCTGAATGTTAACTGTATTTTTATTTTTTTTTACCACAGAGTGACGACACATCTTTATTGTATTATAACTCTCTGCATACCACCTGACAGCTGAGCATACACCACATGGAAAATCCGACTTTCTGAGTGTAGGTTTAATTCTTCCAGCACCACCTGAAGGCAGCACAACAGCCTCAGGGAGAGGGCGCGAGAGAGGGTGGGCGCGAGAGAGGGTGTGTGTGACGTCATGGCATGGTGCCCCGACCATGTTTGGCGGAGGAGAAGTTTGTGTAGCTTCGGCAAACTCTAGACACCATTGGTCTGAGTAACAACCAGAGTGGAGGAGAAGCAAAGTAGTTTGTTCATGACTCTTCATTTCGCTTTAGGGCTTATCATATGAACGTAACGTTATTTAATGCTTCATTTAAGGTGACCTTACTTAATTTGTCATCACTATTTATTTAAAGTTGTCTAAAAAAAAAAAAAAAACGAGCGGGCGGTTTTGGATTTATGTCCCACTCACGTTCAAATTAATGGCTAATTGCTGTGTCTCTCAATAGCGTTATAATAACGTTATTCCTGGGTGGGCTGTTGGGTGTTTTACCCGCAATTAATAAAGAGGCTTCTAATTCTTCGGAGAGTCTCGCATCCTCCGTCGGGTGGTCTCGTATGAACCGTGTCCAGGCAGCGTCGAGGGGTCGGGGGCTCAGCCCAGCAGAGCCGGGCTCAGGATGAGGATGCCCCGAGAAGGACGCCTCTCCTGGCTATTGTGCCCTCGGCTCCGCCTTCGTTCTCGCTGCTTACTTCCAGAGCATCACCAAGGGCAGGTAAGACCTCACTTATGCTAAAATAACGACGCTAACCGAAATATTGGTTAGATAACGGTTTGTATTGAAGCATTACTGCCTGAAGTTAGACATACAGTGAAGTGGCCATAGAGAAAGTAAAACTAAACCGTGTGTAGCGTGCGTTAGCTACACTTGTTGGGTGTTTAATTGACTTTTTTTTTTCCACGAATGGTGAAAAATGCAGTGAAAAATGGCACATGATATTTATGTATCGAAAAAGTGTCATTTTGACACAATTAACTACACTGGCACACCTGTGTGTTAGTGTGCATGTGTATAACAGATGTCAGGCAGAATGAAATGTGAATGAAATCGAGTATGAATAAGCTCACTGTGAACAGTTTGATGTTTTGAAAGCCCCCCTCCGAGAGACCCCCTGCATTCCTCAGCTTTAACCCTCCTCTCCTCTTCTTACCTCTCCTGTCCTTAATTATGTATATTCTAGCTAGAGATGTTCTTTGAAACTGACACGCTAATTAGTTTTTAATTCTGTAATTATCTTGGTCATTCGGTCATTCTTATTCCTTTTTCAATTTCTCACTCTGATCTGGGAGTACAGTGAAGTTGAAACAGCTAGAGAGAGGAAACAGCCAGGTATTCGTGAACCTAGAATATTGTCACAGTACTGATGTTTTATTACTTTTATTCAAATATGCGCAAATATTTAAAAAAAGGGTTTTTGTTATTTCTAAAATACTTTAAAATTTTGCAGTGTTTCATGAAATTACATTTTTCCACTTGACAGCAGCATCACTTTCGCAGAACGACATTCAGAGCCCCAGGATGACTCCTTGAAAAGGGACTGTTACACTGAGATGTTGGTAGAAACTGCAGGCTGTCGAACCTTACGTAGGGCCCGGGGAAAATATCAAAATGTGGTGTCACTATCCTAGCGGGCGTATATTTAGGCCTGAATATGAATACGAGTCGTAGCGTATCCCGATATGTTTTCGCAAAGTTGAAAGCAAATGTTCAGTCTCCTCTTCTCTCTCTCTCTCTCTTACACACACACATGCAGAGACACAACTACACACCACACACGTTGTGAGCCAGAAGTTAGGGCTGCATTTTAACATTTTAAATTAATATTTTCAGGAAGCAGTAGGATGTTACCAAAACGCCACCGTATTACAAGCAAGTACAATTAAGTCTATAACAAGTACCGTAATTTAACCTATCACTGAGCTGTCGTAGGTTGACTAGCAACAGTGTCTGTTAACGTTAGTAACAAAACATTAATGGTATGAAAAGAGTTTGCTGCCTGTAAACAGAACAAGCAACAATCCCGGGACTAAAACCACTCAATATTAACGTTGTGTTTTGCTAACATTTTCTAACGTTAGCACGTAAGCTCGACATGACTTCATGTTAGCAAACACTGTAAACTAGCGTAGCTAACGTTAGCACGTTTTAAGTTTACCCTGCTAACATCAGTTAATACTCAGCAGTTAGCTTACCTAACAGTCTGACAACGTTACAGTCTAAATATGGTTATGAACAAAACATTACGTTGAAAAGAGGAAGCCGGTGGCGGGGGAGCCAGTGCAGAGGAGCTCCGGTCAGCAGCTTGCTTGGGAGCAAGGATCACAGTGCAAATTTAAAACTATATCGATATATGTGATATGGTCTAATTCCATATCACATTTAAAAATTATTCGATATATTTTTTATATCGATATATCGCCCAGCCCTAGTCACACCTCAAACTGGGGAGTGAGAATGTCATGGTATGAAATGCCAACAGTTTTTAAAATGTGTTTTCATTAGCGTGTTCAATTACGGCTGTCAAGGAAAGTATTCTAAATCTGATTATATAATCCAAAATTGACAAATTTTGCAAAACTCAACGGATATTCAGTTGTC